AACTCAGCCCTGAGGGTTTCTCCTTCCACACCTTCAAGGGAAAACTTCACAAGAGGGAAAAGAACAGACCCAYGACCAAGGAGAAATCCCGTATTTATTATCCAGCATTCCACGTGTTTTATTATCCAACATTCCAGAACAAAGAGACTCTCCTTAGAGTGCCTTTTTTTTTTTTTTTAATTAAAATGAGCAACTTGTACCGAGGCTGCTCCGCKTGTCCTTCTCAGACTCGAGCTGGGTCTTGAAAAGGAGAACACCATTGACACTCAGGAGCTTTGGAGTGGGAAAAGATTCCTGGGAATCATCCACGCTCAACTCCCTCCAACAATCGCAGCTGCTGCAGGGAGCTCCCAGCACGGGAACCGGGGCTGCAGCAGCTCAGGCTTCTGTCACTCCCTGTCTCCACCTCTGCCCTTCCCGGAGGATTTGTGGAGCGTTTGAAGGAATTGGGGGAAGAGGTGCTGGAGGCTGTGAGGGCGCAGTGCTGACAGTTCTCGGGGCAGAATTCCAGAGCAGGAGCGGGGTTTGGGGAGCAGTGGGGCTGGAGGGACGTTCCGGGGGGATTAGTCCTGCTGGACTCGGAAAGTCTCGTAGTCCTCGGGGATGGTGTCTGGGGATCAGAGCAATGAGAGATCAGGAGGAGAAACAGGGAAAGGTGGACTCAGCTCCTGCTCACTGCCCCATCCCCGGGCTGTGCAGGTGTCCAGGGGAGCAACAGGAAAATGGGAAAGAATTCCGTGTGTGCCTTTCCCAACTCACCATTGCAGCGGTAACGSAGGTTGGACCAGATGATGTTCTCCTGGGAGAAGCAGAAGACCCCGAGGCGTCCCCCTCTCATGGTGGTGTCCAGGACAACCCCAGTGTCTGCCACGACCTCAGGGCCTTCGTAGAACCGAGCCCTGGAGGAGAGAGGCAGCAATGGGCAGAGGAATGGGCAGGAGCTCCCTCAGACCTCACGGCTGTCCCTGAACCCCTGGAAGTGCCCCAGGCCCGGCTGGAGCAGCCCTGGGACAGTGGAAGTGTCCCTGCCCTGCACTGGCTGAGTTCCCTTCCAACCCAGCCCAGTCTGGGATTCATTCCCTGGCTGCTTTTCCTGCTGGGAATTTCCTCCCTGGAATTGGGGAAGGGCAGGGCCTCACCTGATGTAGCCGACCTGGGGCCGGTGCTGCAGGAACCAGCGGTACGAGGTCTTGTCCTTCCAGCCCGAATTCCGAGGGTCCTTCCAGAGCAGCTTCACCTGGTCCGTGGTGTCTCCCGTGTGCCACAGGGAATTCCGGAGATACTCCCCTGGGCCTGTCTTGGATTTCACTGCCTGGGCCGGAGCAGGGATGGGTCAGTGTGTGCAGAGAGGGTTCACTGCAGCCGCTTATCCCAGGGCAAAAACCCAGCAGGAATTCCCTCTGCAGGGCTCCTTTACCTTCAGCTGAATGCCGGGCTCGGCCACGGCCCGGAAGGGGTTGGCCTGCCAGTAGGTCTGCTCCATCTGCTTCCACATCACCACGTAGAAGCTGGCGCTGTCCTGGTAGCTGAAGATGAAGCCGGCGTAGTCGTCGTCTGTGGCCGTGTTGACGTGGAAGGTGCCCTCAAAGTCCACCCCGTTGAACGCTGTGTACCCTGGGAGGGGCAGAAAAACAGGGGCTCTGCATTCCAGGGCCAAACAGAGCCAGGGCTCAGCTGGGAGATGGATTTGGCCAAGGGGAATCTGGGCTCCCTGTGCTACAGGAATCAGTGATGGGATCACGGAGCAGTGGCTGAGCCAAGCGGCACCGGGTGATGATTTTCCAGTGGGAAAAGGTCAATTCCTCACCTACAGCCAGGCCTGGGTCGCTGTTCATGGTCTGGACAATCTCCATGCCCTGGGAAGAGGAATTGTGACTCGTCAGTGCAGTTCCAGACAGCCCAAATCCCTCTGGTTCAGCTGCTCCGGGATTTGGGCGCTGTTGACCCACAGAGTGATTTTGGGAAATCCTCCAGGCAGCCCCAGGAGCGTTTCCAGCTGAGCTCTGCCCCACCTGGTTGAGGACGATCCAGTTGGGGTCGATCTGAGCGTCGCCCTCGGGGTCCAGCACCACGGTCTGGAAGGCTCTGAAGTCGGTGAGCGTCACCTCGGCGTTCTCGGGGCAGACGTCGATGCGGTCGATCACCGCGTCCCGGTCAAAGTCGTTCTCACACACGTTCCCCACGCCGTCCCCTGGGCAGGGGGAGGAGGAGGAGGAGGAAGGAGCCTGGAGCAGCTGCTCCTGCCCTGGCTCGGGGTTTGCTCAGCCCTGGGCAGCACCAGGAGCAGGGGAGGAGCTGCTCAGGGACACCCCGAGGGGTGCAGGGAAAC